TAAGGAAGATAGATGTTTGATAGGAAAGAAGAAGCAAACCACACCAGAGCACCCGCCAACCATCCACTTCCCGATCTCTACCCCCTCATTTTTGTATTTGTCTTCTCTGCTGGCCTCCAAGACATCCGATAATTATCCCCCTCCTTTCAGTCTCTTGACCTTTCAGAAGAAGATCGAATTGGTGATCACGATAAGTTCTAGCTTTTGGCATCTGGCCATTACCGCAGCCAGTCCAGCAGGCTTAGTGCACCCCTCTCAGCCAGGGAGCGAGCGCCATTACTGCCGTCTTTTTACAGGAGCTATTTTGTAACGTAAATCCATAATCAAATCCGTGCGCTGGATTCACGCAAGGGTCTCTCGGGCAAATGACCACAAGGGCCCAAATGAATCGAGTCAAGAGGCCAGGTCAGGGTTGTTTTAACTCTGACTGAATAGAAAGAGACTCAAGACTGCGTAACTGTAGTTACGTAAAGAGGTTTCGTGTGTTTAAGTTCGCAGGGAATCACAGCAATAAAAGTCGTTTAGTGCTGGAAAAACACGGAAACAAAAAGACAAAGGTGCCAACGAAGAATAGTAAGCTTTACTTGTGGCACCCTCCAAACATAAACAAAGGGATTTCGTTTTAGTAGAGATTTTACTGCGCTCACAACTGCATAAGGTCATATGAGCGCCAGAAGATTAGAGGTGTTATAAGAGAGTAACAAACATAAACAAGAAGAAGGGGGGATAAGGACGACAGATGTTTCATAGGAAAGAAGAAGCAACTCACACCAGAGCACCCGTCAACCAACCACGTAAAGAGGTTTTGTGTGTCTAAGTTCAAAGGGAATCACAGCAATAAAAGTCGTTCAGTGCTGGGAAAACAGGGACACAAAAAGACAAAGGTACCAACGAAAAAAAGTATGTAAGGTTTACTTGTGGTACCCTCCAAACATTTCAAAAGGATTTTTAAGTTTTAAAAAAAAAATAGAAGGGGAATAATCCACGTAGCAGAGTGAGGAGCTACCGACTAAGGGATGGGTGGGGAGAGGGGGAGATAGAGAGAGGGGGAGATAGGGAGAGAGAAAGACAGAGAGAGAGAGAGAGAGAGAGAGAGGAGCGAGAGAGAGAGAAAAATTAACCAGAGAAAGAAAGAAAGAAAGAAAGAGAGAGAAGAGGGGGGCGGTGTGAGTGGGTTAG